GTGGCTGCTGCTCTGGAAGGGAGGGGGGGCCTGGTCCAGGAGGTGCTGCAGGAAGGGACGGGATTGCTGGCGGTCCAGAGGGACACAGGGTGAGGGAGAGGAGGAGGTACATGCTGAGCCCAGAGTGACAGAGGGGGAGGAGAAGGCCCCAGACCAGAGAAGAGGGGACACCCAGGGGCAGACATGGGGAAGGAGTGCAGAAGGACTCCAAGGTGAGATGAAGGTGGGAGAGACTTAGCAAGACAGAGAGCAGGGTGCAAACAGAGATGGCATGGCAGCCAGCCAGCCAAGGGACAAGGTCATCCACCTGGAATCAAAAGACAGAAAGATGGAGATGGGGGGAGGAGAGGTGGGAGAGGCGAGGGAGCCTGAGCCCGGGGAACCTGTGAGAGGCTGACTGGTCACCAAGGTGGAGTGAGGCCGGGGGAGACCCAGAAAGAGCTGCACAAAAACGCGGGGAAGTAGGAGGGAGGTGTGGGGAGACAGGAGGGCGGAGGCTAACCAGGAGCACAGCGGGTGGGTGAGCAGCAGGCAAGGACCGGGCAGGGGCGGCACAGGCAGGCGGAGAGGGGAGACGGGAGCAGGAAGATGAAGGGGCCAGGGCTGGAGAACAGGGGGAAGGTGGTAAGAAAGAAGAGGTCGATGCCCACAGCTTGGGGCACAAGGTAGGGCCCCCAATTCCAGGCTGCAGTGGAGTCCTCACCGAGGGCACAGAGACCCGGGGGCACGGGTTCCAGGTGCGCGCGCCGGCGGCAGGCGGCCTCCTGCAGGTGGCAGGCGCTGGTGTAGACCACGCCATCCGAGCCGCACACGGGGTCCGCGTGGGCGCCACAGTCGCGAGCGCAGCCGCAGCGTGCAATCGCCGCCCCCTCCTCAGGGGCCACCGCGGGGCCCAGCTCGCCCGGGGACCAGCCTGGGGGACGAGGTAGGGTCTGCTAGGCACGGTGGACCCAACCCAGACCTTGTCCGCACTGACTTCCAGGCCTGGGGCCAGGACCACTCCTCCCACAGGGTGGAAGGGAGCCGACGGTGGGAGACCCGAGCCCTGACACGGTCGGGTTTCAGGCAGGTATTTGCCTGGCACTTAAACATTTT